GAGATATGCACATAAAATGTTTAAAGACATGGATTAATRCCATTTCAATACCAGAAAAATCACAAGCCAGTGCTGATTCATGGCCAAATGAATAAGGGTAGTATTGCATTTTACCAAGAAAAAATCATGAGCACTTCAGATAAGCATATATTTAAGCAAGATCTTGAGGAGGAGTAAAATTTGGACACAAATGGATCAGGAAGGCAAAGGCACTCATATACAAAACTGRAGGGAAAGACCAGAAATAAGATAAAGAGTGGATTATTTGGAATAGAAGAGAAAGAGTAAATGTGGACAACCTTCAATGTCAAGGCAGGAAATTGGATTTTATCCTTAATAARGAGGAACCTGAGGATCCCCAGAAAGTGTTTGAGCAAAGATATACAAACTGCTATTTTAAAAGTTTGGCATCACTATGGAAAGGATTTAAAAGGAGCCAGTGAACAAGACGACCTAGCAATCCTCCCAGGTAGAAGGATCCCAAGTTCAAGGCCAGCCTCAGTAACTTAGCAAAGGCCCTACGCAACTTAACAAGACCCTGTCTCAAAAAAGAAAAAAAAGAAAGAAAGTTAAGTAAAAAGGCCAGGGATGTGGCTCAGTGGTTAAGCAACCTTGTGTCCTAATACCTGATACAAAAAAAAAAAAAGACTAAATCCCAAGAGGTTTTTTTGTTATTATTACTATTCCATCAACAATTCCTTAGACAGCACACTTGAAAAAGAAATTTCACTTGTTCTGAGATGTACTGTTTGTATTTTAATCAACTATGCACTTCATGAAAATGGAAATCTATGTTAAAATATTTTGCTGCAAAGTACATTACCATAGATCCTAGTCTTTATACATTTCTTATTTTCTTTACCAACATTTTATGATTTAGAGTTTTACATTTCTCTGACAGATTTTATTTTAATTACTTGTCTGGGAAATGTATGCATTTGCAAGCAACAAATAACCTAGATGGTGGCATCTGATGAATATATTTATGCACATCTTTCAACATTTTCTTCTAGTTTAGCTAACACAGACTCCACAATCAAAAAAAAAATGACAAAATCAGTAGTCTTTCATCCAGAGTCACTCTCTCCCTTTAGTTCAGACAATGTGGCCAGGTCCCACATAAACAAACCATTAGAGCAAAGCCACAAACCTAGTCTTCCACCTTCAAACCCAGTGTACTTTCTATTGCCTGTGTCAMCTCAAGCCTGAACACTCTGGACAAATCAATAATTTCTCTCTTCTTCAGTTTCTTCGGTTAGCAAGTCGAGGAGTAAGACCCACTACATCAATTTCCCAAGTGGGTTTCAAAGAATACTAATTTCTGAGATGATTGTGGGTTTAAAAGTTTTGTGGTCATGTAAATTTGAGAAAACTAAGTATTTTATTCCTCTCCTGAAGTTTAACAATGGAGATCAGCACACACACACACACACACACACACAAAAAAAAAATGCTATAATTTGGGTATACTCTGTCCCCTCAGATTCCTGTGATGGAAACGTGGACCTCAGTGTGGCGACAGGGAGGTTGTTATGTCACTGGAGGCACTGCCCTTGGAAGGGGTTAAATGGTTCTCACTGAACCCCAGCAGGGCTCTGGTTTTCTGTCTCATCATGTGACCTCTCCCTCTCACACACACGCCCACCATGCCATCTGCCATGAGGTGATGCAGCCAAGAGGGGCCCTGGCCAGAGCTGGAGCCATGTAGTTTGAGTTTTCAGCTTCCAAAGTTGTCAGCTAAATAAATCTCTTTTCTTTATGTTACCCAAGTATTTGTGGTAGCAATAGAAAATAGACTACTACAAAAGGCTAAAGAAAAAGTTTAATGTTGAGACCAGCATTTCCTGATTGTTCAGAGGAACGTTTTTGTGTGTGACTCTTATTAATGTTCTGTACCTTCTCTGACCACTCTCCCTCCTCTTTTCCTTCTACTTCCAGTAAAATGAGATTCCTTCCTCCAAAGCTCAAACACACCCCAGAACCTTCCCACTCCAGGCTCTTAGACCTACTATCTTTCCCTAAAGGGCTTGACTCCTCAAAGCAATCTTCCCTGACCACCACTCTCCTACAAGGGGTTCTACTTTTTCTTTTTCTTCATAGCCCTCATTCAACATCACGTGATGTACTGTCTGCCTCTTGCACTAAAATAGAGGCTCCTGGAGACAAGAACTTTGTCCTGTGCATCACTATAAACCCAGCTCCTGAAACACTGGGAATAGGAGTGCACTAAATGTTTGTTCAGTCAATGAATGAATAGACCAATGAATGCAGTCCGTGAAACCAGTGTTCTGTAGAACATGGAGCGTTGCTGCCATACCAAGACAGCAGAAATGCACTCATTAGAAATGCCACTTCTCAGGCCCCACCCTGGACCTACTGAACAGACCCACAGGACTGAGCCCAGCAATGTGGGTTGGAACCTCCTGGTGATTCTGATGCTCACCAGTGTTTCAGAACCACTGGTATAAATCATCTTTAAGATAAATCCAGCCCACAAAAGTCCAGAGTTCTGTTATTAATGAGCAATTCTCTTAAGGTGCTTTGAGCATTTCACAGGGAGATGGACTAATTTCTCAAGTTTCCTTAGGGTCTTAAGATTATATTATATGACAACATACCACTTGCCCCTCCAGTAACAACAAAGCTCTAATTAACACACAATGTCCCACTGAGAATTAATCAGCTTAACAGCTACCCCAACACACTTGAGGGCCATTTTACCATCTGCTATGACTAAGAAAACTCAGTTACCCTCAAATTAAAATTCTCTAATGAAGGTTACATTCATCCAAAATAAGAAACAGTCACACACACACACACACACACACACACACACACACATACACACACACACACACACACACATACATCTTTCTCATCATGATTAATCACTTGATTATATTCCCAATAATACTGCAGAAAACTCAGTTAATTTTAATATTGGGGAATGATCTGGAGGATATTTTGTATGCACTCATTTTTATCTATTTTTACTTTCTGTTGACTGAAAATGGACAATGAGATAATTTTTTGATTAAAAGAAATTACTGGAAAATGTCAAGCAAGCAAGCACATGGAATACCAAAAGCCTGGGGCATAAGGATCATTTACAAGTCACAGTGCCTTGTAAGGCTTTCGACATCCTGGCCCAAGCACACTGCCACGTTCGTGCAGAAAGATGCTCTGCTCTGTTTTTCACACTTCCCCATAATCTCCATTTCCATCATACCCCTCTCTGCCTTTCTGGCCCAGCCCACTCCTGCCCCTCAAACAAGGGGGAGTCAAGGCAGCAGCAACTACCATGCCAGGTAACAAGGCTGGGTCCCTCTTAGGAGTATGACAGCATCAATGACAGGACTGGCCACCAGCAACAGAAGCAGCACTAGCTGAGCTGCTGTCATCTTATTTGTGTGTATTTCATCTCCTGAGATAATCTCTAGTTTTAATAAAGAATAAGACTGGGACTTCAACATTGAAGCATCCTCCCTGACCAAACCTCAAGAATCTGCCATCTCTCATCTTTGCTTTGTCCCTGGGTTTCAGTGATATCCAAAACTCAAGTTGAAAGATCATCCTTTTGATTCTCAAGGAATTCCACCAGTCAGCTAGAACCCAAGCTCACCTCCTGATCTTTCTATTGAGAGGTGAGAGGTAGAAATTTGCATGAGCATCCAAGAGGGAATTTGAGGAGCTGGAATCTTGACTGGAGAAAAGGGTGGTAATCAGGAGACACTGCAGTGCCTTCCTTGCAGAAGCAAATCAGAGACCCGGTGAAAGTTAAGTCTGGCCAGGAATAYGTAAGACTCTCACAGTCCTCTGGGACTAGACGTTAAAATTCCCAAGAAAGAAACTGGGCACAGGGGCTCATACCTGTAATCACAGCAACTCAGAGCTTGAGACAAGAGGGTTGTGATTTGAGGCCAGCCTCAGTTTCATAGCAAGACCTTATCTCAAGAAAAAGAAAATTCCTAAGAAAGGATGAAAGATGCAATCAGGTTTGGAAGCAAAACATTTCTGAAAGGTTCCAAGATCCACACCTTAAATATCAAGCAAGCCATGGGTTTCTTGTATTTTCTGAGTTTATTTCCTGATGTTCTGTCTCAGTATTTGTGAATGTCTTTTGCAAGGTGCACCTCTTCACATGCCAAAGCAAAGCAAGGGAAATGGATGATCTGCTCCATAGTCACCAGCACCCCAGATAGGAGGCTACACCTCACCCTTCCTCAGGGAGAAGTATGATATTAGTGCTGTGTTATGATTTAGATGCAAAGTGTCTCCCAAAAGCTCACAATTGAGACAATGCAAGAGGGTTCAGAGGGGAAATGATTGGGTTATGAGAGCCTTAACCCAATCAGGGAATTAATAACCTGGTGGGATTAATTGAGTGGTAACCAAAAGCAGGTAGGGTATGGATAGATGAGGTGGGGCATTGGGGGCATGGCTTTGGGGTATTTCTTGCAAGTGGAGCGCTCTCTGTCTCTCTTCTCTCTGATCATCATGTGAGCTGCTTCCCTCTGCCACACTCTTCAGCCATGATGTTCTGCCTCAGCGGGAGCCCTGAGGAATGGAGCTGGCTGTCTATGGACTAAGATCTCRGAAACCATGAGCCTTCAAATAAACTTTCTCCTCAACAATTGTTCTGGTTAGATCTTTTAGTAGGAGCAGTGAAAAAGCTGGCTAAAACATTCTGGAATAAAATTGAGGCATCTCAGGCAGAAGGAAGGTGAGMCTGTCTGTCAGAGTCCTCTCTGTGAGGTCCTCACCCCTCCTGCATAGAAACCTTGACATTTCTGACTTTAAGGTGAGCACTCGCAGTCACTCATGGCTTTGCTAAGAGAAATGTGTTCATTTCTGGATGCTAACTTCTCCTCACCAGAGAATAACGGTTGTCACTCAAGCTCTGGTCCAACCACAGGGATCAATCATCGGGCAGAAAAGATGACAACCAAACCTTGGAGTTTGGTGAGTGCACAAGCCAAACCTAAGAGCCACTACTCAGGATCCTGTCCTGGTTCCCAGTCGTGACCATTGGGTTTTCATGCCATTGTGCAAGATGTTCCTCCCTGAAACCCTGATATAAAGTCAGCACATCAGCCTTCTGATGTGGAGGTGGGGTGGCTACAAGAATCAATATTCAGGACATTATCTATTGAAGCACAAATTGACAAGTTGTGTTCCAAAAGATTACTTGTCACTAGCCACAGCGTATACTGCTGGACTGCTCGCAACCAACCTTTCTAAAATACAACTTGGAACAAGAGGATTTCTAAAGCAAACAAAAGAAAGRAAGAAAAAATAAAACTCTCACTGGTAAATCCCAGTAACTACTCCATGTTCTCAAATATACTGCCACCAGCTTCCCAGAAACTCCCAAGAGAAAGCACCTCCTGGTTCCTTTTCCCCAAGACACAAATTGGCTTTTGATAGAGCCCCATGACCCCCAAGAAAAGAGCTATTTCTAGTTCCATAGCTCAAATCACACAAATATATTAATTATATGCTATATATATTTAAATTATATTACAAGTAGGCAGAAGGCAGAGACACTATAAATTCTAGTGTGAAGAATATTGGTGCTCATTTTCATGAAATTTCCCATAGACATAAAGTTCCAAAATGCCTTTAGATTTTGAACCCAACCCACAACAATCAAACTTAGCAGGTGGGCACAGGGGCGCACTCCTATAATCCTAGTGGCTCAGGAGGCTGAGGCAGGAGGATTGCAAGTTCAAAGTCAGCCTCAGCAACTTATTGAGGACCTGTGTCTAAAATAAAATACCAAAAGGGGCTGGGGCTCAGGGGTTAAGCATCCCTGGGTTCAATTTCTGATATTAAAAAAAAGCATAGCATGCCAGTTTCCCTCATATAATACACCTGCTGAGAAATGAGAACCAACTCCAAAACAGAACTAAGAGGCCCAGGGCTCTATATCACAGAAGTTTGAGAAATGTAAAGGAGCTACTCATGGCAGATGAGAAGCAAAATAAAAGAAGCCACAGTCCCTCCTTTGAACAGAAACTTGTCTCTGGCTAGGATTTCTGCAGAACAATCATTTCCAAACCTGACAGATCAATGAGATCATCTATGAAATTTTTATAAAATACACATTGTAGGACTTGATCACAATCTACCAAATTAGATCTCCCAGAGTGGGCCCAGGAGTCTGCATTTTGAAGGATGCTCCTCAGATGATTCAGATGTTCCACTCTGGGGCTTGCCACATCAGAATCATGGACCAGCATACCCAGTTCTCAAAGGTCCTTTCAGCCTTGGCTCACGCATTGTTTCCTCTTAAGGATCTTCCTGTCTAAGCATCCCTTCCCCAAAGGCAACACTACATGATTTCATTTGTAGCACTGTTCCTGTTGTGTAATTATTTATTGGTTACTTATCTGTGGTTTGTCCATCCCTGGAAGTCTATAATTTCCATGAAGCCCATCCTGTTCCTGCCACACTCCAGCATACAGCTCAGAGCAAGCATGCATCACCCTTGATAAATGAAAACACATGGTCACCATGAATCTCATTTCATCTTATTGCCAYATGTATAATACAGGTGGAGCACAAGTCGTTATTTCCAAGTTGATGAAATAAACCAGAATATGAGTGTCTCAATGTCTCAGAAGCAAGTGGCAGAAGCGAGTCTAATACCCAGGCTGGGGCTTCAGGCTCCACCTCCACTCCCTTTCCATTGTCTCATACTACCCTCTCCCCTTCAAAGAATATCAAAACTTGGCTTTAGTTTATTAATATCAAACTCACAGAAGAGTCAGCACCTGTGTCTCCAAGTCATTTTTATTTGTGTGAGAAGCAACTGTGCAATTCGGAAACATAAGCCCCTGAGGACAGAAAAAAACYTCGGACACATTCTATTCTTTTAACAGAGAAACAAGTAACTCACAGAGGGTGGGCAAATGGAAATGCGGTAGAAAATTCTAACATCGTGAATTCTAGTAAAAAGAAGACACATAATACAAAGGGAAGACTATTTAGTTATGAAGCAACTTCTCAAAAAAAACTGCTAGTAAAAGCATCTTTAGCCAGAAAGAAAAGAAAAGCACATTCAGTTGAAACTTGGAGTACAGAGGGAAGGCTAATGAATTAAATATCAGGAGTTTGCTCTAACCTAAATAATCTATAAGAAACTAAAAGGGATATCTAAAAAGAAGAAATTCTGCAATTAAATGGATAAAAACATAATAATCACATTAAAATGACTGAACGCCAGTCATTAAAAATCTGATTTTAACAATAATGAAATTAGGGGCTGGAGATATAGCTYAGTTGGTAGAGTGCTTGCCTCACATGCACAAGGCCTTGGGTTCAATTCCCAGCACCCAAAAAAAAAAAGGCAGGAGAACAATAATGAAATTAGAAAGTCATCCATTAGGGAGTAGCAATACTTTGTTAACACAGCCTTTGATATAATTGCTCGATACCCGGAAAAATTATGTTATCACAACAGTAGGTTTGTGTTGTACAAAGGCACAAGGGGAATTGGTTGCTACCTATTAGCACACTGGCAATTAATTTTTTTTTAAAGAAACCAGTGAATTTTCCTAATTATATTGATACCAAAAAAAAAGTATGTCTAATGAAAATCTCACAAAAGAAAGGATCGTAACAAATTAGGTAATAAAACCAGCAATAAAATATCTGGCCATTTTAGAAGGGAAAAAAATGGGGTTTTATTGAGTAAATTAGCAGACATAGTAACCTCAGAAAGCATTTGGCTGTAGGCCTCCCAGGGTCTTCTCTGAAACATTAATTCAGATTGAATCACATTAGAGCAGTCAAAAGACTTTAAATCAGTAGGAGTAAATTAAAGCAAAGGGTAATAATCAACCAATAATGTTCTAAGAGGTAGGGAAAGTCCCAGGGGGAGCCCACAGATTCGGTAGTAAGTTTGAAGTGTGACACTGATGAAAGGATTAATAGCCCTCAAATTAAAATCCCAGATGATGCCAAGTAAAAAAAAAAAAAAAAAAAGGAGAAGTAAAATCAAAAAGGAGAAAGTCATTTATTGGCCCAATTTTGTGATCAGTGAGAATAAATACCCAGAATTTAAATATACATTAACAGATGAGTAATCCTTTAAGAGCTCATACAAAGTATAGATTTTACTTATCTTACCTAAAAGAATTCAGAGTAAAGYAAACAACTTTATTGCAATATTGGAAATTCACTTTTCAAGCTTGCCCTAGCTGCTCAAGAGGCTGAGGCTGGAGGATTCCTTCAGCCCAGAAATTCCAGGCCAGCCTAGGCAACATAGTAAGACCCCATCTCAAAAGAAAGAATTCACCTTTATCTTCTCACCCTCAAAAAATAACAGATTCTGGGACTGGGGTTGTGGCTCAGTGGTAGAGCACTTGCCTGGCATGTGTGAGGCCCTGGGTTTGATCCTCAGCACCACTTATAAATAAYTAAATRAAGTAAAAAATACATTGGCAACTAAAAAACAACTTTTTTAAAAAATTATGGATTCTAAGTTTTTATGTTTGCCTTATCCATTTTTCTTAAAACAAGGCAAACTTACAGATTCAAAAAYGAGTCAACATCATCTGAAATCAGCTGATTAAATAAAATGTACAATAATCAACCTGTACTTTTTAGGTCAATAACTCATACAGATTGACAATTTATCTTTTAAATATCTAAAAGGACATCAACACTTTTTTAATCCTAAATATAATTGCCACTAACACAAGTGTGAACATTTTGTTTGGCATATACATTTTTTAAAAAAGAAAAAGGGATAGAGCTGGGCATAGTGGTGCACGCTTGTAATCCCAGCACTCAAGAGAGTGAAACAGTAGGATTGAAAGCTTAAGGCCAGCCTGGGGAACTTTGGAAGACCCTGTCTCAACATTTTTAAAAATAAAAAAAGAAAAAGCCATCTATCAGAATGTAGTCAGATTTGCCAAAAGAAAATGTRAAAAGACATAGAAACATTTGAGTCGCTTAATATCAACTTGGTCAGAATATTCAAACACACTGCCTTCCCAGGGTTATCTATAAGATGTTAATTATAATTACCATACCATCATTATTATGCCATGTTAATTATTATTATCACTGATATTGTTATGCTATCTTCCACATATTGAGATATATGGAAGGTTGGGGAATGAGAGTGCAGATTTGTCTTTGCAATGAGAAGGTTGAGCATTGCTCCTATTCCCCTTCTTCTGGCAAACAGCAGCATCATCTGCAAGCTGACAGGACAAGCGCAGAGCAGTGCAATGTGGGACACCACTCCAGTGACTGACTCACAGATAACTCATGCCCATGATCACAAGTCTCATTAATATCGGGCTATGCCGGAACAGGAGGGTTCACCAACTACAAACACAAGATGACCCCCAMCACGAATTACACTGTGTACAGTGAAGTATGTGAGTGTGGTTTACCTGTCTGAACTCCACACCAGGACAGGGGGGTTCCAGGGCTGTACACCCAGGAGGGGGTCTGAGAGCTTGAGAAGCCACTGGACATAGTGGTACCAGCCAAGCTGCAGGTCAAGGCAACAGAAAGCAACATTCAGCAGCCTGGAAAAGTCACAGTTAAGATCCAAGGAAGCAGCCCAATAGAATACACAGGGACTGGGCAGGGAACAGGAAGTGAGGCTCTAGGTGGTGAGCATAATTGTGGGGTGGGCAGATAGACTAGGACAGAGCCAGCCATGGACAATTGAGATAGGCAGTGGCATCTCCAGAGATTATATGAGACCCTTGAAAGGGTTACCTGTAGCCTTAACCATGACTAGGAAGTGAGCTGGTGGGGTCCTGTACCAGACAGAAGAAAGCTAAATCATTACAAACACTGAGAACTTGCTGATAAAGAGACATCATGGAGCTGGTACGGTGGCACAGGCCTGCAATCCCTGGCTTGGGAGGCTGAGAAAGGAGGATCCTGAATTCAAAGCCAGCCTCAGCAAAAGCGAGGCGCTAATATCATGGCATGAATCATAAGGGTCATTGATAGGAATCCAAACTCTATTTCAGACATCACTTTCAAACCCTTTAAGCAAACCCTTTTATAAGAGTAATTAAATAGAAAAAAAAAAATGATTACTTAGACTTGAGTTCTTTTCTCTGTCCATGT